GGGCAGGGTGCACTATATCTAGCAGGACATAAGCGGAAACGGATAGGGTATTCTGTACCGGAGTGTGCATAGCAGCCTACACGGCATAGTGGACTGTACTCTGAAAAGCAAGGGTACAGGGCATAGCGCTTTGTACTGGGCAGGACATACGAAGGCCAGGACACGGCATGGAAAATCGTCTATACCCTTCCCTCTGTCAATACCCCACCCTAAAACCAAGCTTGATTACAGCCCATTTTAAGCCCGTTCCTTCGGCTTTTAAACCTTTTCCGAGACAACATGCTTATCCAAGTAGTTGTTTTCCTACTTCAACTTATTTTTTATGGCTTTCAAAAGGTGTAATTTTATTTTTTGCGTTTTCAAAATGTCACAGTGGCGTAAATAAAACGGTTTTTTGACGAGTTTATGAACGGATTTTGTCGGTTTTAATAGTATATCGAGTTTAAAAGTGTCGTATCTTGGGCTTTGACGTCGTTTTACTGTGTGGAACGCTGGCCTTAATAATTTTTTGGTATGTAGTTGTGTTAAAAATGGCATTTTTGATTATAAAGCAGCTTAAAATTGAGTTTAAAAAGTATTGTCGTTTTTTGACGTGCAAGCGAATGTTAAAAAACGACAAAACTTTTTTTTTAATTTTTAAATTTTGTTTGCCATGTTTAATCGAAAAAAAAAATTTTTGCCAATTTTTAATAGACAAACCCGCTCTACCTGTCCGCTAATTAGTCATAAATACCAAACACATGTTGTTTTTTGGAAAGTAACTAACCTCCTAATCGTCAGAATCTTTCCTTTGTTTATGTGTGTCTGAAAAAGTAAAAAAAGTGTTAAACAAACTTTTTTTAAAAATTTTCTATTCAAAGTACTATTTTGGCTAAGAAGAAGAGTACGTGGAGAAAAGAAGGTTAGTATAGGGTAATCTTGAAATGGTGATTCTATTTTTTTAAGAAAGAAGGGGAGGGGAGAGAGAAGCAGAGGGTGGTATTGGTATTGAGGGGGGGGAGGGGGGGGACGGTGATTTTGGTAAGGAGGAAAGTAATATTGGTAAGAAGAAGGGCAATAATAGTGGAATCGGTGATATTTTCCCCACCCCCCCCGTCCCTTTTCTCTCCCCCCCCTTCCCTGACCTTGATTTTTATTTCCTTTTTTATTTCTAGCATTGCCTAATATTTTCAGTATTATGCTGTTTTGCACTTCAAACAGTATAATACAAACAAATTTTAAGTTTTCAAGTTTTTAAATTTAAAAACTCTTCAAAATTCCTCCCCAGCTGTTTTTTGTCCCTTACTCATGCCACAAGTGACGTTGTGGCGAATGTTTACATGCTCATGAGTATGAATCCGAATTGCTCACCGTTTTTGCGTCGATTTTACGGTGTTTAAGGAACCGGCGGCACAAAGAAAATATAAAAAAAGCGAAATTCGTTCGGAAGGAAAGTAAGGTGAGGGCTTGTGTTTCTTTCGAATGCTGGAAATGTAATTGGAGGGGGGAGAAGTAGCCCTAGTGTAAATTAGAACGTTTTTTGAGGATGCGAATTGAAGATCTATGAGGTTTTGAGGGGTGAGAAAGGGCTGTATATGTTATAATGTAAAAAATGAATAATTGCTTATAATTTAGTTTTTTTAGTTTATGACTTTTTAACGGTACTTTTAAAATTAGAGGTAAGGAAGGCTATGCTAACATAAGACTGAATAGGGTAGAGAAGAGTAAGGTAGGATATGGTAGGGTAAAGCAAGACAAAATAGGGTACAATAGAGTAAGGTAGGCTAAGGTAGTGTATGATAGAGTAAGGTATGGTTAAGTAAGGTAAAGTAGTTCGGTAGGAAAATGTAGAAAAAAGTGGAGTACAGTACTATAGAGCCTTATGAAGCAGGATAAGCTACGTTAGGTATGGTTTTTTCTATAGCATGTTAGGGTAGATAAGGCAGTTTTAGCATAATAATGGAGGGTAGCATCAGTATGGAAGGGTAGATCAGGGAAAGGTAGAGTGAAGAACAACAAAGCTTTGTAAGGCCGAGTAAGATAGGGTAATGTAAAGCTGTTTTATCCCCTTAAGACTGAATTGACAGAGCATGCTCGAGTAAGGTAGCATAAGGTAAAATAAAGTAAGGTAGAGTAGGGTAGGGTAAGCTTGTTTCTTAGCTATATTTGAATATATTTTCAAAATTACAATTGTTAACAAGATTTCTAAAAATTTTTAAGGAAGTACGATGTTGTTTTGAGTAGACTTATGTTAGTTTGGCGTTTTTGTCGGTTTTGCCATTTGTGCTACGATTTATAAAAAACCTTATCTTTAATAGTTTTACGTTAGGTTGTTTGAAAAATTTTTTTGTTTTTTAACATGAAACTCCTAATAAATTGACGACATATGTATAATCATAGTTTTGTCAGCTTTTTTAATCTTAAACGTGGATATTATTTTTGCAATGGGTACGAAAAAGTATTAGTACCTTTCTTGTTCTTACTAATTAAAAAAAATGTACTAAAACTTGTTTCTAAAATACTCTTATTAGGTTGTGCAAATAATTCTGTGCTTCTTTCAAAAAAAATTTTTTGGGAATTTGTGGGTTGTGGAGCACAGAATTATTTGAACAAGTACATATATATACATATATATTTTAATTTTATAAAAACTGTTAGGATATGATAGGGCAGGGTAAAATAAAGTAGAGTACAGTAGAGTAGGGCATAAAAATCATGGCAAAGCTCACCACACCCTCGTCGATGACCACATGAGTCGAAGACAAGTGTGGGTGTGTAATAAAGAAGCGGGGTGCTCAATTCTCACGATTAAAAAACATTCCAAAATAGCGGCTGGGTGGGGGGGGGATATGTTGGCGGGCTCATTTTGGCATTATATCTCAATATATGGCGTTAAAATGTACATGTTGAAGGAGGGCGGGGTGGGGAGAACTGTTATTGGCGTGCGAGCGGCTTTTCGGCCACTCCACAATTCGGGCCAAGTTCAGCGATACGTGTAAAATTGGCGCGCGATTACATTGTATTCAAGGCTTTCCAAGGCTTTCCAAAGTTTTCCAATTATGTCGGATTAAGTAGGGGTGGTGGCACGGGATTTTTAGGGTGGGGGGAGGGGGAGAAGGAGAAGTTAAGAATGGAAGGATGAGAGGTATTTAAAAACGATTTTAAGGCATGGTATGAGTAAAAATTTTAAAAGTAGTAGAGTAGGGTAGAGCAGAATTGAGTAAAGCAAAATATTAGAGTAGGTTAAAGTAGTGTAATATAAAGAAGGGTAATAAAAATAAAAATTTTTTAGACCTATATGTGAGCTACAGTAGACTCATTTAAAGGTGTGGTAACATAAAGACGGAGCAAATCACGGCATGGCAGGGTAAAAAAGTAAGCAAAGCAGAGGACATTTATGATAATACCAAGGCTATGGCATGGGCTTTGATTAAGCAGCGCAGCGTAATGTAGGGTAGGTTAAAATAGTGCAGAATAAAGCAAGACAAAAGGTACGATAGGGTTGGGCAGGCCAAAATGTGGGGCATATTATTATAAGTAAGGCTGGAGTTAAACTACAGCAGAGCTCAAAGAGGACTTAGAAAAGCCAGAGCAAGTAAAAAGTAAGACGACAGAGGGTTGGGGTCTTTAATAAGAGTGGGGTAGGCAAGGCAAGGCAAGGCAAGGCAAGGCAAGGCAAGGCAAGGCAAGGCAAGGCAAGGCAAGGCAAGGCAAGGCAAGGCAAATTTACCTTAATAGAGCGTAAGGTAAAAAAATAAAAAAAAATAAAATTTAGATAATAAATTTTAAATTTTCAAAATTTTTTAAATAAAAAAAAATAAAAAAATTTTTTTTTCGCGTTGCGTATTTTACATTTTTCCCCACAAAAACATAACTTTTGTTCATTTTCTTCCCCAACTACTTGCATTATTTATATTCCGTGACTCGTGCTGTGTGTTTAGTATTCGATATCATTATATATGTTTTTAGAGTAACGGAATAGCCGGCGTTTCATGATCTGCTCCTAGATTGTGCTGCGACATTGGCTACTACAATATAGAAGAATCGACAGTTGTTACAATAGAAAGGCTAGAGGGTGTACAATATCAAAAGTGACAGTTGGAAACAAGACAACACTTTTTGAAAAAAAAGTAAAAATAACAAAAACTTTCTGTACAGAAAGCAGAATAGCAAAATCTTTCTTTACTAAACAGAAAATTGCAAGAACTTTCTTTACAAAGCGTCAAATGGCAAGAACTTTTTTTTACAAACTAAAACATGGCAAGAACTTTCTTTACAAAGCATAAAACGGCAAGAACTTTCTTTACAAAACAAAAATTGGCAAAAACTTTCTTTACAAGATATGAAATGGCGAGAACTTTCCTTACAAAGCATAAATTAGCAAGAACTTTCTTCACAGAACAAACAATGGCAAGAACTTTCTTTACAGAACAAAAAATGGCAAGAAGTTTCTTTACAAACCGCAAAGTGGCAAGAACTTTCTTTACAAACAAAAAATGACAAAAACTTTCTTTACTACACAAAAAATGGCAAGAACTTTTTTTACAAACCAAAAAATTTTTTTATATTTGAAAAATATGCAAATCCTGACAAACTCGTTTCCAGATTGACTGGTTTATGCGCTGTGAAGACGGCCTAGTGGTCTTCGAGGCCACGGGCGCGCATGTCTTTGCATTCCGAGCCTGAAGAACAGCACGGCACAGTGAAATGCCAGCCGGTGTGCGCGCCTTCTACGTTCGCCGAGAAACGCCGACCACTGCAGGGCAAGCCATCTGACTCGCACTATTCTTACGACTACTCCTACTAATCCACTTTGGTTGCTTCTGGTACTAGGCTACCTTGGGTTTTGGTACTATTAGTATACCTTGGTTACTTCTAGTACTAAATCACTTTGGTTATACCTAGTACTGGTCCTATACTACTAAGTTCCCTTCTAGTGCAAGACCGTTGTACTATTGGTAGTACTAGTTCATCTTGACATCTTCTACTACTAGACCACACCCTATTTCCATTAAGTTACCATGCTACAACAACCGGTGGCCAAGGAGCTGCGCTCCTTCCAAAGCCTCTCCAAATACACTGGGCTTCCTTCTAAAAGGTATCGCTAACCCGTTTTTGGTTTTTAACATGAACTTTTCGCAAATTAACTACTAAGTTTAAACTTTTTACTTTAACTACTAATTTCGAATTTTTATTCTATTTGATCCATACTTTTATGTTGAGCTACCCCAGTTTTAAATTTTGATGTCAATTAGGCTTACAAGGAAAGTGACCTCTTTGGTACCTTCCTTGTTAACTTATAATTTTTAAAAGTTTATGCCACTAATCTATACAAAAACTATTAAAAATTTTATTTTTACCCAGTATAGCTTTTAAGCTTTTAAAGATGATTTTGTTTTAAATTTGTGGTTTTATATGATAGCTACCACCTTTTGTACTTTAATACACACTGTAAAGTCATTTCTACTGTTATAGAGATCAAATAGCAAAAAAAAAATTTTCAAATTGAAAAATTTTTTTTGCTTTTTCTAAAGCCCCGTGAAAAAAAATTTTTTTGATATTTTTATAATTTTTTCAAAATCCCCATTAGCCTAACATAAGCGCTAGCTCTATCTTAAGCTACAACTTTAACCCGAGCTCTAGCCTAAACCCTTGGCTTAATTCTAATCCTTAGCCTAAGCTCTAGCCTAAGCTTTAGGTTAAATTATATTCTTAGCCTTACGCTAAGAATTAGCACAAGCAAGCCAAACAATTTTTTTTGCATTTTCTTTCTTTACAGGTTAAAATCATTTACTAAGATCCGGTCCAGATCTCCAGCTTTTTAAAAATATTCCACCCTACCTCTTTCCGCTCAAATCATAGAGCTTTCATCAAACCTTTATCAACAAAAAATATTAATCATTACTACCCCCAAAACCCTCACTAACTTCCCCAACTTCAGGTCGGTCATGAGGCGACAATCCACCGTCGCCAACCGCCGCTACTCGAATCAGCGCCGACGCCGACTCGACTCCCAAAATGATGAAGTAAGTTTTTTTTGTTTTAAAGGCGGCGGCCTGGAATTTATTATGCAAAGCTTTTCGTTTCCACTAATGGGTTAGGGGGGGGGCCTCAACTTAACTTAAGGATTTTTAGGGTCCTTATGCCAATGTTTGCGGATGAAGCGCCGCTTTTTCAAACAATTTTCATGCATGGGTTACAAAAACAGTTGCTTCAATAATTGGCATAGGTTTGGGAGAAAGTTTACGATTCTTCGAGGGTTTGTGGGGGTAGATTTTTGAAATGATTTTTTAACGGTTTGAAGGGTCGATTTTGAAATTTGTTTATAAGGGTTTGGGGGGGGACGATGGGGAGGGGGGATTTAAATTCTTTTTTTTTATTTAAATTCGGGTTTTCAAACTTATAGCTTTAAGGGTTTAAGACAGGAGTTGTAAAGGTAAGGCACGGTATAGTATGATAGGATATGGTAAAACAGTAACGTGTAAGATAAGGTAGAGTTGTGTAGGGTAGGCTATAATCAAGTAGGGTGAGATAATACAGGGTATGGCAGGGTGGAATAGGGTAGGATAAGAAAGGGTAGGGTGGCTTTGAGTAACCAAATTTTGAATAAGATAGGGCAACTAGTAGGTAGGGTAAGGTAGGGTAGGGTAGGGTAGGGTAGGAAACTCAAAACAAAAAAAATTAAAATCAAACCCATAAAAGTGCAAAGTCCCCAAAACCACCCCTAGTCTGTACAATTTGCCAAACTTGTAAAAACACACCTGTCGTGTAAACCCAAACACGACATATTTACAATATGGGTAATGTTGTTGTGTTCGTGTCACAAAATAACCTCAATTTTTATGCTTAATCAAATTCGGGGCTATTTTAGTAATATTAAACTTGGTTTTGGCATTGGGATAGAGTAAAATATAAAATTAAAAAAATTTTTTTTTGTTTTCCCTTCTCTTTTTTTTAAAACAGCTCAAAGAACTAGCAGCACAAGTTTAATTGTAAAGAAAATACTGCACTGTGCAAAATACTAGGCTGTTCAAATAATTCTGCGCTCCCTAACCCCGAAAATTTGCATTGATATAAGGCTCAGAATTATTTGAACAATATAACATTAGCTTGTTCAGTTAATTCTGTGCCTCTTAACCCAAAACAAATTGTTTTGAAAGGAGCACAGAATTATTTGAATGACCAATTTCTTGCTTTTTCAATTAATTTTGAACCGCTCAACTCCAAAATTTTGCTATGAAAGGAGGCACAGAACAATTTGAATGACCAATTTCTTGTTTGTTCAATTAATTCTGAGCCCTCAACTACAAAAATTTGCTTTGAAAAGAAGCACAGAACTTTTTTAACAACTATATTGATTTTGCCTTTTTTTATTTTTTTTGAAACAAAATTTTAAAATTTTAAAAAACTTTTTTAAATTTTTTATTTCCAGACCCTCGAATCGATAAGTCAACCGCCTTCGGAAGAGAATGAAGGTGAGTGTGGGCGGCGGTTCTCGTCACGAAAAGTTGCCATGATCGCGGAGCCGGAAGCCATTTTGGAAGAGACGCGGGTACCGCAAGTGGACTGGACTGAAGAGAACGACTTTTTCGACGCCGCCGAAAGCGACCTGCCTTTTCCTGGGTATGGCAATGAGTTTTGGATTAATTTTGATTCTTTTTGTTTAAGCTGGTTTGAAATGACAAGAACTTTCTTTACAAGATTAAAAATGGCAAGGACTTTCTTTACTGTCTATAAAATGGCAAAAACTTTCTTTACAAAGCGTAAAATGGCAAGAACTTTCTTTAAATATCAGAAAGTGTCATTCTCTACCATCCTTTTATTCATTTCTCTCCAATCTTTTTAACTTAACCTACTTTACCTTCCTTTAGGTTTGTCGAGCCCTCGTTATACTGCCTGAAACAAGCCCAACCGCCGCGATCATGGGCGCTGAAGATGGTGATGAATCCGTGGTTCGATCGGCTCACGATGATGGTGATTCTGCTAAACTGCTTCACACTAGGCATGTATCGGCCGTGCGAGGACGGGCCCGACTGCAATACGTATCGATGTTTCGTACTGGGACTTGTTGATCACATGATTTTTTGTTACTTCGCTGCTGAAATGGTATGTTGCAATAACTTTCTTTACAAAACAAAACATGGCAAGAACTTTCTATACAATTCAAAAAATGGCAAAAACTTTCTTTACAGTAAAAATATAAATTTTTTACAAATTTCTACGTCTTTCGTTTCAAAAAAAATAAAAAAATTTAAATTTTTGTTTTGGCGCCATTTTTGGCATTATGTTTGGCGATTTTCTTGTTAAAAACGTTACTCTATGCTAAGTTAAGGTTAAATATAGTGCAAATAACCTTTTCAAACAACCAAAGCTGGATTTATAACTTTATGTTTAAGTAAAGTGGCAGCATTTGTACAATAACTTGCACAATGCAAAAGTTAAAAACATTTTTTGAAATTTAAAATTTTTAACAAATAATAAAACTTTTCACGTTGTTAAAAATGTTGTTCCAGGTGATAAAAGTAGTTGCGTTGGGATTTTCCGGTGAAAACGCTTACCTCTCGGATACGTGGAATCGTCTCGATTTTTTCATTGTCATTGCCGGGTAAGTCAATATAAATTTTTGAAATTTAGGTTAAAATGTGCATAATACTCTTGTAAACCTTATTTTTATTTTTTTAATTAAAACTATTGTTTTAAAATGGCAAAAACGTCATTTTTCTCGTTTTCATACTGCGCCCAAGCTTTGCGCAGGCTGCAGAATGCAAGTTTTTGAAAAGATGGATTTTAATGACAAAATTAGTTTTGTAGAAACAAGGGTGGTGGTAAAATTGTGATAATACAAAATTAGAATACTATTTTGATGTATAATTATTTAAAATTTCAGTATTGCGGAGTATCTTCTTCAAGAATACTTGGGTAACATTAACTTGACTGCTATTCGTACAATTCGGGTGTTACGACCGCTTCGCGCAGTCAATCGTATTCCATCAATGAGAATTCTGGGTAAGGCGACTTCAAATAATTTTAAAAAATTTTTTTCAAATTTGCACCGTGCAAACAAAAGTTGACTTAAAATTGCACCGTGCAATCTTTTTTAATTTTTAAAATTTTTAAAACGCAAAAACCTAAAATTCTCATTTCCAAAAAATTTTTCAGTAAATTTATTGTTGGACACGCTGCCTATGTTAGGCAATGTGCTGTTGTTGTGCTTTTTCGTCTTCTTCATCTTCGGCATCGTCGGCGTTCAGCTGTGGGCGGGGTTGTTGAGGAATCGATGTGTTATCAACCTGCCCCAAACCAACTTTTCACACGAAGTCACGGAAATCGTGTTTAAAAACGTTTCTCTTACAAGGTTGGTGAATATTTTACATTTACTTACACCTAAAAGCCACAATGATTTATTTAGCTTGTGTCCCACTACGAAAACCTTCATTACTAATTTTTAAGTCAGAATTGCTTTAAATTCTAGGTAAAATAAGTCAAAATGTCAATTTTACTGCTATTGATATTTTTTAACATACAAAATAATAATTTTGTTATCTTTGGGTCTCACCACGAAAACCCTGATTTTAAAATAAATTCAAGAAAAGTTGATTAAATTTTAAAAAAATGTTTAATATATTGTTTTTAAGCCTAATTCAAAACTTTTTTTTAAAATTAAAATTTCTATTTGATTTGGGTCCCGCGACGGAAATCATGATTTTTCAATATTTTGATAATTTGCGGTTTTATAAGCTTTAATTTTACTTTAGGCATTACATTCCGGAAGATACCTCACTAGACTACATTTGTGCCCTATCCGACGCCGGTGGCATTCACACATGCCACAACCTACCACCCTACACCGAAGACGGTGTCAGTTGCAACTTGACGATCGAAGAGTACGACAAAGTGAGTACCAATTCGTGCATCAACTGGAACATCTACTACAACGAGTGTCGTGGCGTTTTCAAGAACCCCTTCCAAGGCTCAGTGTCATTCGACAACATTGGCTTTGCATGGGTCGCCATCTTCTTGGTGATCAGTTTGGAGGGCTGGACTGACATTATGTATTACGTACAGGATGCCCACTCCTTCTGGAACTGGATCTACTTTGTGTTATTGATTGTGATTGGAGCGTTTTTTATGATCAATCTATGTTTGGTCGTCATTGCTACACAATTCGCGGAAACCAAGAGGAGAGAGACTGAGAGAATGCTTCAGGAACGGAAGAGAATGAGATCTGTTTCATCGTTGAGTAAGTTATTTATTCTTAGAGCTTAAAGTTTAGGTATGATTTTTTTGTTCTTAAATTTTATAGTTAAGGTATGAACGGGCTGGGATGTGTGATTTTGGGGCTTTGGGTGGAAGTATGACAGAACCGGGAGGGTGATTTTGGACTTTGATAGGGATAGAGCAGAACTGAAAATATAAAAAATTTTTTGACAAAAAAACGAAAAATATCATTTTTATTCTTTAGAAACCTAAATTTTTTAAATTTTAAAGTTTTAGTACGAAAAACCAAGAATCTGTGACATGTGACGAAATGTCAAACAAAATATCGGATTTTAGGTCGTTTCGGCGAATTTCGGAATTATTCTTGAAATTTGTGTTTTATTTTCGAAAAGCTCTGATAATTTGAATTTTTAGGTAATAAAATTTAATAAATCTTCTAACTTTGACGAAACGTCACAAAAAATATTGAATTTGGCTAATTTTCACAGATTTTTCTTTATTTTTGGTATTTTACTTTACTTTTACCTAAATTATTGATAACTTAAACTATTTATGCTGAATCTTCAATAATTTAAACATTTCAGCCAGTAGCGAGCAAGGTGGAGCCACATCCTCGAAAGAAGGCGGTGGTGATAGTGTTTATGCTGCGTTGGTACGTCTGGTTTCGCATTGGTTTCGCCGGTTCAAACGCTACACCGCCAGGAAATGGACGGAATATCGAGAGAAACGGGGAAACAAGAATGCTCAAGAGATGGTCAGTTTGAAGGATGCGTCGTTCGAAATCGACCATTCCGTCGACCGAAATGCCGGAGGGTCGTTGAAGGAGAAAGGGCCAAGGGAGAATCATGAAGAGACTAGACGATACAGTTTGAATCACAAAAGTAATGGCAGTAAGTTTTTTAAATATCTTTTTAAGATTTTTAGGTAACAAGTTGCAAAAATGGCAAGAACTTTGTTTCAAAAGCAAGAAATGGCAAAAACTTTCTTTACAAAACTAGAATGGCAAAAGCTTTCTTTACAAAGCAAAAAATGGCAAAAACTTACTTTACAACACCTCATTTCAGAAGTAAAACAAAACCTGAGTGTGGTGGAACGATGGGATGAAGTTCGTCGTACCGAAGAACTGAATGCCGAACTCATGGACGGTGACGAGACCTCAGCTCCACGTTCTCGCCGTTCCACAGCCGGTCGACGTGCCAAATCCGGTCCACAATCCGAATGGGGAATGCGATTGCAATGGTTTCGCGACAAAGTCAAGGACTTTGCCAATGGAAATCACTTCACTCGAGGCATTTTGATCGCGATTCTGATCAACACCGTCCTCATGGGTATCGAGCATCATCAGCAGCCCGAGTTCTTGACTGTAAGCTTGGAGTACACGAACTACTTCTTCACTGGTCTTTTCGCTTTTGAAATGTTGTTGAAGGTAATATCAGATGGACTGTTTGGGTATCTGGCTGATGGCTTTAACATGTTTGATGGATGTATTGTGGTACTAAGTGTACTGGAACTGTTTCAAGAAGGCAAAGGAGGATTGAGTGTGTTGCGAACGTTCAGATTGTTGAGGATTCTGAAGTTGGTGCGGTTCATGCCGGCATTGAGGTATCAACTTGTGGTCATGTTGAAGACCATGGACAATGTCACGGTGTTTTTCGGGTTGTTGGTCTTGTTTATCTTCATTTTTAGGTAAGTAAGACGTGGAAAATATATTTTTGGCCTTATTTTTCTATATTTTTAACAAATAATTCTTTTTCTTACCTAAAAACCTATATTATTTTACCTTTCAATCCCTTTTTTTAGTGAAAAAAAACTTTTTCTAGCCTAAATTTTTATGAGAAAACTAACAATAATGTTTGCCAAAGTATTCTACTCTCTTACTATAACCTTTATTCTTTAGTATATTGGGTATGAATTTGTTTGGCTGCAAGTTTTGCGCCAAAGACGAGCCGATCTTCGGGCACGAGGTGAAACGATGTGAGCGTAAAAACTTTGACTCGCTTTTATGGGCATTGGTAACAGTATTTCAAGTAAGATTAAACCACAATCAACTATTTTTGTGTTGTTTTATGATGTTTTAATTTTCTGTTTCTATTTTTTGTTGTTTTACATTGGTTTTTTCAACTTTTGCTTAACTCGACTATCATGGATAATATCGACAACCATTTCAATGTCCTTTCCGTAAATAAATTGATTTTTAGTGTTGTGTTGTGTAGTAAAATATGTAAAGATTGTATTGTAGTATACTTGGAATGGATTTGTTTGGATGCAAGTTCTGTAATCAAGCCAGGAATGATTGTGGTGAAGATGTGGATGATCACCAGAAACGGATGCATTTTGACTCGTTGTCGCGTGCTATGTTGACCACCTTTCAGGTATATGTTGTGAATTGTATTGAGGTTGTTTTGACGAATATTGGTGTTAATTAGTGTTGTTTTAGTTTGTTTTTGTGTGTTGAGGTCAGATATCATAGATAACATAAGGTTTTTGATGTTTTTAGTGGCTTGATTGGATTGTAACTGAGGATATATGTTTATAATATTGTATATTAGATTGCTTTACATAGTTTTCATTTAAAAATGAAATGTTTTACATTTTAAAATGACTCATTTTCTAGATTCTAACTCAAGAAGACTGGAACATGGTCCTATTCAACGGCATGGCCCAAACCACCCCTTGGGCTGCTTTATATTTTGTAGCCTTAATGACTTTTGGTAACTATGTGCTCTTCAATCTACTGGTAGCTATCTTGGTCGAAGGATTTCAAGAAAGTAAAGAAGAAGAGAAGCGAAAACTAGAAGAAGAAGCGAGAAAGCATGCTGAAGATGAACAAAGCAAACAACAAGCGGAAATCAAAGAACTTATATACACAACAACATCACAACAGTATCTGGAAGCACGACGGAGTATTCAACAGAATTGTACTTGTGCACAAGAGAACATATCAAGCTTGAGGCAGAGGTTGGAGGTACATCATCGGACGAGGAGTATTGTTTCGGCTGATGTAAGTGGGGAGGGTGTTTTTGAATGGAGTTTTTGAAAAAAGTTTGTTTTTGTCAAAATAGACTAGTCCATTGTTAAAGAAATGCCAAAAAGACATTTTTTACCTCACTGTAATTTTCAAGTTACAGTAATTTTACTCAACCACTGTTTCACACTTTTTTTTAATGATTTTCTGGTACAAAAATAAATGAAACTGACAAATCTTTTTGCAGGACCACTTACGCCGTGGTAGTCGTGACACAGTACGCCGTGTTCGTTACTATCCCAACGGTCCCAACCATCATAATCACCGTCCATCACGACCACAACTTCAATCAGATATACCGACCCGTTTGATGCGTCACACTTCGTTAGTACTGCCATCTCATGGTCGTCTAGTTGATGAAATTCACCCTGAACATGTTCAGCGACAACGTATGAACAGTTGGAGTGGGCTTCACACTCTTCTGAACCCAGCCTGCCCAATTCATGGCCCCAGAGCATTAATTGAAGCCTATGCCATGAATAAGTATTTGAGGATGAGTCAGGATGTTAATCAAGCATTGTTGGAGCAGGAGCGTTCTGAGAGCGAAAAGAAGAAGAAATGGTACATCAGACTGCTCCAGAAGACCTGGATCTACACTCGCGCGGACTCATCGTTGTTCGTGTTTTCTCCAAAGAACAGGGCCAGGATATTCTGTCTCAAGTTGACCCAAAAAAAGTGGTTTGACTACACCATCTTGGCCTTTATCGGCGTGAATTGTATCACATTGGCCATGGAACGGCCGTCAATTCCGCCATATAGTGTAGAAAGGACGTTCCTCACTGTTACCGGCTATATCTTCACTTTTATTTTCACGGTTGAAATGACAATGAAAGTCATCGCTAATGGCTGTTTCATTGGAAAAGGGTCGTATTTCAAGGATGGGTGGAACATACTGGATGGTATCTTGGTCATAATAAGTTTGATTAACTTACTCATGGAAATGTTCGTCAGCGGGGGTGAGTGGAAACTAAGTTTTTGCGGTCAAATAAATGGCAAAAATTTTCTTTAAAGTACGAAAAATGGCAAGAACTTTCTTTACAAAACTAAAAATAGCAATAACTTTTTTTACAAATTAAAAAATGGCAAAAACTTTCGTTACAAGTTAAGAAATAGCAATAATCTCTGGAAACAAAGTTTTTTCGAAATTTAAACAAATTAAATTTTTTTTCAGATTCTCCAAAGATTTTTGGAGTAATTCGTGTCCTTCGTCTTCTACGCGCCCTCAGGCCACTTCGTGTCATCAATCGAGCGCCTGGAGTAAAACTGGTAGTTATGACATTGATCAGCAGCTTGAAGCCCATCGGTAACATCGTACTGATCTGTTGTACCTTCTTCATCATCTTTGGTATCTTGGGAGTTCAGTTGTTTAAGGTATTCATTTTCTGTGGTTTTTAATAGAAATGGCAATAACTTTCTTTACAAGACGGAAAATTGCAAGAACTTTCTTTACGAGACGGAAAATTGCAAAAACTTTCTTTACAGCACAAAAAATGTTAATAGTTTTCAATTTCCACCTACTACAACATCATTTCAGGGTATGATGTACCACTGCCTTGGAGAAGACGTATCCAACATCACCACCCGAGCAGAATGTGAACTAGACCCCAGAAACAAATGGACGAACCATCGCTACAACTTTGATAACCTAGGCCAAGCTCTGATGTCATTATTCGTACTGAGCAGTAAAGACGGCTGGGTCAGTATCATGTACCAAGGAATCGACGCGGTCGGTGTGGACATCCAGCCAATCGAGAACTACAATGAATGGCGCATGATCTACTTCATCTCCTTCCTCCTTCTGGTCGGCTTCTTCGTCCTCAACATGTTCGTCGGTGTTGTGGTGGAGAACTTTCACAAATGTAAGGAAGCCCTCGAGGCGGAAATGAGGGAAAAAGCGCGGAAAAAGCGAATTGAGCGACAAATCAAGCGACAAGAGTACGAGAAGAACTGTCCACAGAAGAAGAAGCCCAAGAAGAGGAAGAAGAACCAACCCTACTGGGCATCCTACGGTCCTACTCGTGCTACTGTGCACAGTATCATCACCTCCAAATACTTTGATTTGGCCATAGCTGCGGTTATTGGGATCAATGTTATCTCGATGGCCATGGAGTTTTACATGATGCCAGGATGGTTGAAGTATGTCCTGAGGGCGTTGAACTACTTCTTCACTGCCGTCTTCACTATGGAAGCTAGTATCAAATTGTATGCGTTGGGATTCAAAAGATTCTTCAGGGAAAGGTAGGGAAGAGACTTTGTTTACAAGGTCTTAGTAGTGAAAAAAATGGCAACAACTTTATTTACAAACTTACAAATTGCAAAAATTTTCTTTACAAAAGACAAAATTGCAAAAACTTTCTTTACAAACTTACAAATGGCAAGAACTTTCTTTACAGCCTAAAAACTGATCTCATTTTAGATGGAACCAACTGGACATGTTCATTGTGATCTTATCCATCGCTGGTATCATTTTCGAAGAGTTCGAAGCCCTCGAACTGCCAATCAACCCAACCATCATTCGAGTGATGCGAGTTCTTCGAATCGCTCGAGTTTTGAAATTGTTGAAAATGGCCAAAGGCATCAGAAGTCTGTTGGACACGGTGGGAGAAGCGTTGCCTCAGGTCGGCAACCTTGGCTCTTTGTTCTTCTTGTTGTTCTTCATATTCGCTGCTCTTGGCGTGGAATTGTTTGGAAAATTGGGTAAGGAATGGCATTTACTTGTATTTTTGTCGTGGGGTAGGGTAAAATAGGCTAGGGTAGCTTATTTTTGGATACAGTGGGAGCGATGGTAGGAGTAATGCGGGGTAAATCAGGAGAGGTTGTACAGTACGGTAGGTTTTGGTAGAGCGAGGTAGGGAAAAATTTATGTTTACAAGGTCTTAAAGTAAGGTAGAGTAGATTGGGTAGGAGAGGGTAGAACAGACTAGGTTAGTCTACTGTAAGAGCTGGTGTGGTGGTAGGGGCGCTGTAGAGTGAATTAAGGTAAGGATAATGTAGTATAAATCTGGTCAAGACACTCTAGTTTTGAGATCAGGCTACTATAGGTTAAAGGTACGGCAAGTTGGTAGAGTAGTATAATCTAAGGCGGGGTATAGTAACGTAGGGTAAGGCAGGGTAGGGTAGAGTAGTTTAGGGTAGAGTACGGTAAGGTAGGAAAGGGTAAGGTAGGGTAGGACAGAGTAGGGTAGGGTAAAGTAGGGTAGGGCAGGGTAGGGTAGGGTAGAGTACGGTAAGGTAGGAAACGGTAAGGTAGGAAACGGTAAGGTAGGGTAGGGTAGGGTAGAGTAAGGTAGAATAGGATAGGGTAGGGTAGAGTAGGATAGGGTAGGACAGAGTAGGGTAGGGTAAAGTAGGGTAGGGCAGGGTAAGGTAGGATAGTGTAGGGTATGGCAGGATATGGTAGAGGCTCTAACTAAAAATCTAATTTCAGAATGCTCAGAAGAACACCCCTGTGACGGGCTGGGTGAACATGCCCACTTCAAAAACTTTGGCATGGCTTTTCTAACTTTGTTTCGAATTGCGACAGGCGACAATTGGAATGGCATAATGAAGGACGCGTTGCGCGACGACTGCGACAAATCAGATCACTGTCAGCGAAACTGTTGTGTAGACCCGATTCTAGCACCATGCTTCTTTGTCATCTTCGTACTGATTTCACAATTCGTACTGGTCAATGTTGTAGTAGCAGTGTTGATGAAACATCTGGAGGAGAGCAACAAGAGAGAACAGGATGGTGAAGGTGAGGAGGGAGACGGGTCTGGGCTATTTTGGGTTGATGTTGTTTTTCTAAAAGCCTTAAATGGGGACCAAAATTAATGTCTTGATTAAAATATTTTAAACTGTAATGTATTATCATTTTCAGCTGGCAAAGATGTAAACCAAAAAGAACTGGATAAGGACTATGACAGTGAAATTGATGATACAGATGCTGATATTGATGTAGAGGCAGAATTGGCCATAGAAGAGGTCGAAGCTGACACTATGGTGAGTTTAAACTACTAAAAAACTACCCTACCGTACTGTACCATACCCTAGCTTACCTTGCCCTACACTTCTTTACTCTACCCTATTCTAGTCTACTTTACTATAGCTTAATGTACCTACCGTAGCCTATCTTACTCTACCACACCTTTTCCTATCTTACCTTACTCTTTTGATGTTAACTGACCCACTTCAACTATCTTTTCATGCTTTAAAACAACTTCTTTCCAGATGAACATAGAACGTAATATCATAGAAGTAGAAGACCAGCTAGCCGAAGAAGTGATGGATCAAAACGAAAGTGATAACGAAGAAAGCCCACACTCAAGCAAGACCTCACTACAGTTGTACACGTTCGAAGGACCAACATTATTACCTAGAATAAGGTCGAATCGATCATCGATTCAAGAGACGTCCAGTTGTTCAGCACTAGTAGTACCTACCGAACGTACTGAACTTGACGTGCAGTTGAAGAGGTCACCAAGTCCTTAGGACTCTTCAAGGCCAGAAGATTTGTCTTTTTATGGCTGAAACTTTACTGAATGTCTCGAAGAGATGTTGTGAGAAAAGATGTAGCGAAGAACCAATAATGATGAGGTTCGTAAACATGAAATAAGAACGTGTTTCGAAATGTTAATGAGAATAATTGGAAGTAAAAGACAACAATTTAATGATGAAAAAATCAATAATGAGACGAAATGTCAACGGAAAAATTCAAATTAGACGAAGTGCCAACAAAAAATCAATAAATTGAAAAATAGTGAAAGGACCGTCGAATACCTTGAAAATTCAATTTTTGTTGTTGAGAAGGGTAATAGTCTACCGTATTTCATTCATTTAGGTCAGATATACCAACATTTCCGAGTATACACCATCTAGTATTACTTTACACTTAATAGTACATCTTTTTGTTTAATGGTACTAATACTTAATATGATGTCGTCTGTTATATACAATATTTTGTGCCTTACATACTCAATCATTTTTACATTACTTTTAACGTTTTTATAACTGTAGGGTGACTTACATTAGTCAATACCTACAGTACCTTACCATAAACCTTACCGTATCTTTTTCTCTATTAATTCTATATTTTTTTAATAATGAACCTAATAATATGATAGTCAAACAGTTCTGTCATCTTAAGAAGTGTCAGAAAATGAAATTTTTAAAATGACAAAACTTTTCGACCTCTAATAAAACGTCTAAAGTCGCATTAAAAATGGCAATATTGCACTTGTTCGCACGAAACCGGTAAAACGCTTCCCCCGAACTCTCTCTCTCTCAATAAGAACAATTCTGTGTTATTCATATACGTTTAGTCATCAACATATTCCAATAAGTGTTTTACTTTGTCCTCAGTTCTTTAAACCAAAGATCTTTCGTCTTATCGTAAGTCGCTTTGTACAATAATAAACTCATTATTTTATGGTGTTGGAGCTGGTTTTTTGTAAAAATCGGATTGATTTTGTAGTAGGAATGGATTAAAGAATGTCTTAGTAAGCGTGGACTAACGAATGATTTCATAGTAGGCATGACTAAAGAATTTAGTAGTAGGCGTGTACTTAACAATATTGTTATAGTTGGCATGGGCAGAACAATGATATTGTAGTGGTCCAGAACTAAAGATTATAATCATTTTACAGTAGGCATGGACTGAAGGACCATTTTATAATAGACATGGACTAATGGATGAGTAGAGTAACATAAAACGCCAAAGAGGGCGAGTTCAAAAGAAGTTTTTACCCTGTTTTTACTATATGCTAATCTACTCATTCCTGTCCCGTTCTCTCTACCATGCTGTATACTGCCTTGGTCAGCCCCGCCCTCAAAAATAACTTCAATGATATATACTTTATCAATTAAAACAATCCAAAATATGTCAAAAACAATTTATTAACCAACAAAAGACGTATAACGATTTCAATTTCCTTCTTCATCTTCTTTTTGTTTCTTCTTTTTCTTCTTAATTGCAGTCACTTCTGGTACCGTTTCATCTTGGACATACGCTTCTTCCGCTTCCCTTTGTTTCCTCTTCTTTTCTTTTTTTGTTTCCTTCGTTGCTGTTACCTAAAAAACCAAATTTTAAAGAAAAACAAGTAAAAATGTCATATTTATGAGTTAAAAACTTGCGTAAGTCAATAAATTCTACAAACTTTTTTCTCCCCAATTAATACAATACTAATCTTTTAAATTAAAGTTTAAAAAAATAAAAACCAACCTCAGTTTGGCCACTTTCATGATTGACCTTTCCGATATCTGTTTCTTCGACTTTTGATATTTCTTCTTCTGCTACTTTATTTTTATCCTCCAGTTTGGCCAAAGCTTCCTATAATAACAATTTTAGAAAAAAAATTATGAAAAAATATAAGTAAATCTAGTCCTAAAAAGGAATTATAAAAGAAAAGCCAAACTGCCTCCTACCAAAAGGTGAACTTTAACCAAAACTGGAGTAGACAAAGTAATTGACTTGAATCCGACCCCGAATCAAATTCATAAGCCTCTTTTTAAGCCTAGTTATACCTCGCTAAAACTTGTAGTAGTACCAAACAATTAGTAGTCTATATTATAACAAAAAAATTCAACCTATATTATAGTAAGTGCCATAAATAGTCAATGCTGTCTTCTACCCAAGTGTTCATCATCTTCAAATAGTCAACAAAATATTCTTACCTGAAGCTCATCCCAAAGCTTTTCAGCCTCAAATTCCTTAATGCCAAAGTTGTTTTGGGCAAAGTTAATGAAAGGTTTTCGTTTCCTTGGCACATTGTCTTGACCTGACATCTTCTCCAATCGCTTTTTCGTCATTCCAGTAGCGAATTCGGCCGCTGCTCCAACTTGTTCAGCCCATTTCATTTGTTTTTGTTCGCCCTAAACAATACTTTTTAAATTTTTTTAAAGATATTGTCACCAAAGGCATCATTTCGTCAACCCAATGACACCAATCCTATCCAAAACGTCAGATTCCTATACCCAAACACCGCCATAGCCTACCTTATTATCCTTGGCCACAAAATTCGCTCCTCCATAACGTTGCTGCTCAGTGATGCACTTGTTGTGAACATTAAAATTCTCCCAGGTAAAAGTGACAAAACAATCGACACAAGTGAATGTTGTCTGTCGACAACCATGATATTGAACTTTAGGCTTCTTTAGAGACTCATTGCAGCGATCACATGTGAATACTACCATAATTAAACCTAAAAAACCAAAATTTTAAGATTAGGGTAGAGTGGTTAGGTAAGGCAGGTAACAATAGGATAAGTTGGTAAGAAATTCAAAAAAAAATTTGAAAAAACAACAAAAGTCGCGAAAAGTGTAAAGATATATCAAACTGTTCAAGAACAGGTAATAATAACCAGCAAATCATCCACAAAAATCCATTATTCATTTATTAAAATTCAAAAAATAAAAAAATAAATTAAGATATTACAAAGAAATAAATAAATTAACTTCTACCTCAACATAAACAGAGCTATAAACCTTTAAAACCTATGTATATCACAGTACTTTTAACATTGTCATAATCGCATTTTGCTACCTAAACCTTAGTTTGAATTTTTCTACCTAAACCTCACATTAGATTTTGTTACCTAAACCTTAATTTGAATTTGGCTGACTAAACCTCACTTTAGATTTTGTTACCTAAACCTTAAAAAACGATATGTAATCGCATGCTTATAACCCGTTAAAAACTATATTTAAAAAATTTTGGAAAAGTTGCCAATTTCGTTAATTTTTACAATTTTAGGTACCAAATCAAAGCTTCAGCTTTGAATGTTTTAAAATTGGGATACTGTTACCTAAAATTTAGAAAAAATGTCATATTGTCACCTAAAATTACTAAAAAGTTTTATTTCCTAAAATTTAGGAAAAATGTCATATTATGCTTCTGAAAATTAATAAACAACTTATTCCACTATCACCCAGACGAAACAATCATTATAAATATATTACACTTGACCGCCAAAACATATTAGACTGATAATCACTTTTCCACTATATTACCCTTGATCTGCATGCCAATATCCAGCTCATGAGCTAGCTTAATCATCCCTATGCATGAGTAACATTTGATATGAGCTGGCCGAGGATCCTCCGGAAATTATAGAAAAGTGTTGGTCGAAAAAGTCATAGTACAAGGTTGAATGGAACAGTATGTTGAAGATGACCACTCCATATTCAGATAAGGCGAAGAAGGTGTATATACCCGGCTCACAGTAGGCGTTATGGCGATAAAAGAAATGTAATGCGAAGAAGAGAGATATGAAAGAAGCTCCGCAACAAAATATCTAGTACTGGTAGGACTTTTCGCCCTGAAAGTGAATGTGTTTTAATTTGTCCTCAGTTCTTCAAACCAAAGATCTTTCGTCTTATCGTAATTCGCTTTGTACAATAACAAACTCATTATTTTATTTTAAAATAAAAGTAGGCATGAACCAAAGAATAGCCTTATAAGATACTACCAAATATACGAGTAAAACAATCCATAATATGTGAAAAACAGTTTATTAATCAACAAAAGATGTATAACAAGTTCAAACAATAGTAGATCCTTCTAAAAATCCGTTTAATTAAAAAACAACTTTAACAACCTTAACATAGACCTCAAGCATTCAAAAACCTTAAAATCTATGTATTAAAATGCCAAATTTTAGCCATCAATTCAACAGTATAACAACAATATAACCAATAATCTTATACTAACAAAAGTCTTACTGGTTACCTTTTACGTCCAGGGTTAATAGAAATAAAAGATAGAAAGTGAGAACAAAAAGAAAGGAAATCATAAGCAGTAAGGATAGAACAAAAGTAACGATAACAAGTAAGAACAAAACAAAGTAAAGATAACAAGCAAGAACAAAGGTGAATGTCAAAATGATCGACCTCCAACTAAATCTTCCTCAATATTCATCACAATCCCTTTCCCTTGACTTTATGGGTAAACTTCTGTCCTCGATCGTACTGTTTGCCCATGTTGTCCTTCATTTCCTTATATTCGTCCTTCAGCTTCTTCACTTCAGTTTTGTCCACTTGGATTGGCTTATTGCCATTCTTGTGCATGCCCAATAACTTCTCGAACTTGTTTCGTTTCGAATCGGAATTGGTTATGGCCGCGATCCTGGTCGACCATCCTTTTTCCAGGTCTTTATTATGTGAGCTTCCATTTAAATGCTTTTTTACTCCATTTTGTTCCTTTTGGTCTTCTTCATCTTCCATTGACTGTTCATTTCGGCCATTTTGTTGTTGTTCGTCACCATCTTCTTGGTGTTTCTGCTTATTCTTTTTCTTCTTCTTCTTTTCGGCTGGTTCTTGTTCTGTTTCTTGTTCTGTTTCATCTTCTTGTTCTTTCATTTTCCTTTTCTTCGACTTCTTTTCACTTTTATTTACTTTTTCTTCTTCCTCTTCCTCCTTGCCATTCTGACCTTCTTGCACTTCTTCATCTTCTTGTCGTTTTCTCTTCTTTTTCTTATCCTTCTTGCTCTTTCTTTCATTCTGTTCTTCTTGTTCTTCAGCCACATCTACTTCTTCCACTTTTCCATTCTCATCTACCTGTTCTACCACTTCCTCTTGTTGTTTTCTATTCTTTTTCTTCTCCTTCTTGCTTTTTCTTTGATGATCTTCCACTTGTTCTTCTTGTTCTCTTTTCCTTTTCTTTTTCAGTTTCTTTTCACTCAGACCATTTTCTTCTTCATCTACTTCCATTATCTGTGAATTTTCATCTAATTCGGTCTTATCAGTTTCATTTGCATTCTCGTTTTCTCGTTGTTTCTTCTTTTTCTTCTTCTTTTCAGTCAGTTCTGGTATCGTTTCATCTTGAACATTCACTTCTTCTGCTTCTTCTTGTTTTCTCTTCTTTTCTTTTTTTGATTCCTTCGTTTCTGTTACCTAAAATAACAAAATTTTAAAGAAAAACAAGTAAAAATGTCCCACTTGTGAGGAGAAAAGAAAATGGTGTATGAAAGTAAATTCTATAAACTTTTTGACCAAACTAGTTACTACAGTAATAATTTTTCAACTCTAATTAAAAACATACCTCAGTTTGGCCACTTTCATCATTGACATCTCCGACATCTGTTTCTTCTTTGATTTCTGACTTCGGTTCTTCTGCTACTTTATTTTTAGCCTCCAGTTTGGCCAAAGCTTCCTGTAATAACAATTTTATAAACCAGTCCCAAGAATAGTCAATAAGCTATTGTATACCCAAATATTCACCATACCCAACCAGTCAGTAACATAACAAAATATTCTTACCTGAAGCTCATCCCACAGCTTTTCAGCCTCAAATGCCTTGATTCCACAGTTGTTTTGAGCAAAGTTGATGAAGGGTTTTCGTTTCCTTGGCACATTGTCTTGACCTGACATCTTCTCCAATCGCTTTTTCGTCATTCCAGTAGCGAATTCGGCCGCTGCTCCAACTTGTTCAGCCCATTTCATTTGTTTTTGTTCGCCCTGAACAATATTTTTTTAAAGATATTGTTATTAAAGACGTCATTTACAAGGCTAATACTATCCAAAATCTCTAATTTTTATACCCAAACATTTCCAAACCCTACCTTATTGTCCTTGGCCACAAAATTCGCTCCTCCATAACGTTGCTGCTCAGTGATGCACTTGTTGTGAATATTAAAATTCTCCCAAGTAAAGGTCACGAAACAATCGACACAAGTGAACGTTGTCTGTCGACAACCATGGTATTGAACTTTAGGCTTCTTGAGAGACTCATTGCAGCGATCACAGGTGAAGACTACCATATTTAACCCTAAAAAACAAAAATTTAAGGCTAGGATAGAGCAAAATAATAAAGATTAAATAGGATAGCTAAGGGTAGAGTAGAGCGAAGTAAAAATAAAGAAAAAAGTGAAAAATAGCAAAAACAGTAAAGATATATCAAACCTGTTCATAAACAGGTAATAATAACTAAGAAATCATCCACAAAAATACATTTTTCATTTATTAAAATTCAAAAAATAAAAAAATAAATTAAGATATTACAAAGAAATAAATAAATTAACTTCTACCTCAACATAAACAGAGCTATAAACCTTTAAAACCTATGTATATCACAGTACTTTTAACATTGTCATAATCGCATTTTGCTACCTAAATCTTAGTTTGGATTTTTCTACCTAAACCTCAAATTAGATTTTGTCACCTAAACCTTAAAAAACGATATGTAATAACATGCTTAACACCCGTTAAAAACTATATTCAAAAATTTTTGAAAAGTTGCCAATTTCGTTAATTTTTACAATTTTAGGTGCCAAACCTTACTTTCACAGGTTCAAACTTTGCAAAATTGCAACACTGTTACCTAAAATTTAACCAATTTCGTAATATCACATAAAAAATTAAAAAAATGTCATATTATGCTTCTGAAAGTTAATAAACAGCTTATTCCACTATCACCCAGACCATACACTCATTCAGGGACGTCGTTTGGGGGAGGGGGGGGAGGGGGTGGCAGGGGGGGGTACCCCCCCCCCTCCAGAGCCGATCCGAAAAAAATTCCACAGGTCTCCTGTACGCGGAAAAACGAAAAAAAAATTTTTTTGAATACCTGTGGACCAAAAAAAAATTTTCGACCTCCCCCCCCCCAGAGAAAAACCGTAGCGACGTCCCTGCACTCATTATAAATATATATTGCACTTGACCACCAGCACATTAGGTACCAATATAAGGCTCATGAACTAGCTTAATCATCCCTATGCATGGGTAACATTTGATATGAGCTGGCCGAGAACCCTCCGGAAATAATAGAAAAGTGTCGGTCGAAGAAGTCATAGTATAAGGTTGAATGGAACAATATGTTGAAAATGACCACTCCATATTCTGCAAGAGCAAAGAAAGTGTAGATACCCGGCTCACAGTAGGTGTTATGTCGGTAAAAGAAATACAATGCAAAGAAGAGAGATATGAAAGAAGCTCCACAACAAAAGATCTTGTACTGGTAGGACTTTTCACCCTGAAAGTGAGGTTTATATAGTAGTAGATTCAAAATTAGATAGTTTTTGTAAAAGTATAAAATCCTTTATAGGTATCGTGCTAAAAGAAAAAGCATCGCAAGGGGTATCTAGAAAAACTCCCTTTTAAATCATAAAAAGTAACTTACCACAGAAACCGTCCTTCTTCTGCCAGAATAGTCGAACAAGAAGATACTTATGAGCATATAAACAAAGCCACATACCAAAAATCCAATAAACGACAGTTTATGCATGGCTAAAATTAAATTTTTTTTTACATTTAGAAGCGCATAAAACATTTAAATTTAAGCCTAACAGGTCAAAGATAACGACGTGCTTTACCATCAAACAAATTAAAAAACAACGTTTTTTAAAATTGAAATCAATTTGCAAATTAAGAAAATTTAAACTTGTGATTCAAATGGACAAGAGGCCGTATTTTACCTTTAATCCTGTTTTAAAATCCATTTTCCTCACAAAAATCGTTAAACCTTATCCCAAACCTAAAAATCAACAAAATAATAAACAACTTACCATAATTATCCCCTGAAGATATCGATGATAACATAAGAAGAAACAATATTTCGGCCAAGTTAACGAAACATCCTATATTGGCCATAACATTGAGGAATGTCGTATTTAAAGACCGTAGCGGCGATATTACTAGGAAATTTCTGAAAATGTAAAAACAAATTGGCTGTAAAGAAAGTTTTTGCCATTTTTTGTTTTGTAAAGTAATTTCTTGCCGTTTTTTGTTTGTTAAAAAAAGTTCTTGCCGTTTTCTGTTTTGTAAAGAAAGTTCTTGCCATTTCACGCATTATAGCCAACTTCTGACATTATAACTCTTGTTCATACCTAAATTTACAAAAAAAACAACAAAAACATACCTAAAAGCTACTGCCAGTACTATCCTAGGCGCACAATGTAGTCCTATAGCTATTCTCCACACATATCGCTCTGGTTCGAGTTTGGCCACAGCTGCTGATATCGAAGGTAACCAATTTGGCACTCCACAATGTGTCGCATTCGCAGCCTCGAAATGAAACAAAAAACTGTATATTACACAAAAAGCTAGGCCGAAGAATGGCAGTCCACTAATGTAATATACAATCTTCTTAAATGGTATTCGAATCAGCTCATCTTCTGTGGCCATCTATCTAAAACAATATTAAAACAGGTAAATTTCAAATAAAACATGTTGTTTTAAAATTTCATTACAAGAAAATGATTTAAAAAAGCAGCATTTCAATAATAAAATGTAAGAAACCAGTTGATAGTCACGCTAAATAAATCAAAACTATCAAGTATAATATGGTAACAAACCATTTTAACCTCAAAAACACCTTTCAATCACCAAATTCAAGTAAAAACAAGCTTTATGAACAAGAACAACCTATAAAAACACATAACAAAACAATTATTTATATTTTCCCTTCCACATAATGTCATATTGAGTGAGCCAACTTCGACAGTTTTGCATATTGTAGTCGATCATCTTCTCCCAATTCCACGGATTTTTGTTGTACTTTTTGATATCTTCTTGCTGTTGCCTTTCAGCTGCCATCATGTCTTCTGATACAAAACGAACTGGAACTGGAAGAAAGTCTGTCATGTATGTAACGTATGCTCTGGCCTAAAACAATATAATTTTGGTATTTTTCTTTAAAAAAACCAACTTTTCAAATACTTAAAACATAAATCCCTCAATTACTATAAAATGCAAATCAATATACATATCAACTTTCTACATTTTTAAAAATATTCTATACTATACCTCTACCTCAACATCTATACCCATACCCACCTCAAGTTCAGTCATATAACCTCCAAGCTCAAGGATAATCCTCTCTGCTCTCACTGGAGTGACGTAGTTCTTCAATTGACCCTTTCCCCCTCCTAATTTCGTTCCCTGCGGCTTTCTAGTCCTGGGCAACCATGGAGCTGGTACTCTCCAGACGGCGAACTGATTCTTCATCAAGTTTTTGTTGATTCGAGTCTAAATTCAGAATAAAAACAAAGAAAAAACCTTTACCTGCAAGAATTTAAAGTCAATCGGCCTCAAAAAGCCTCCACTAACTGCAGCCAGACCAAATTGTTTGTGAATCAAGGTATTGTGGATGGGTTCAACTCCTCTGACCTCGATCATCCTCCTCGTGGTCTTGTACTTCTCTTCTCCCAGCTCCGGATCAAAAAACGGCTCTGTTGGCATTACTGGAAGCTTCATCTCGCCGTTTGGAGGAAATACGACATCTAAAATAGGCAAACTAAACCTTATTCAGAAGACAAAAAATGTCCCCACCTCAATTTCTTCAAAAAATACTCACTTTCAAACGTGACCGGAACCATCTTGTCATTGTATCGTGGCTGAAACGTTGTTCGCACTGGTATGCAAGTCAGGCGTTGAAGCCTGAGTAGATTTAATCTACTCATTACATCCAACAAGAATGTATTTCGCTTGAATTTTATAAAATTTACGAAAAACCTAATATTTTAGATTTTCAGCTTGCGCCCACAACGTATTTTTATTATTTCAAGCCGCAAGCGAATGTTATACGCTCAAAGATGAAAAAGTGGTAGAAAAAAACATTTTTCGCGTTCTCTTTGGCAAAAGTAAATCTACATTAACATTGTTCATTCGCATATCATGTCTCTCCCAAATAAGGACAACATTCCATCTGCGGCTTTAGGTTTACCACCTGGATCTAACAAATATCGGAACCAAGAGCTGGTTTTATATGGTTCAATTAAGGAGAGTTTTAAAGACCATCTACTACAACGTCTTCGAGGTCTTTGTGACCCACATGAAGTCAAGTTCTCTGAACATGAAATGGTATTCACTTTAAGTAAGATTTTGAACGTTTTTGTGTTTTCTTTCTTTAGATTTTTATGTTATTCACCATGCTGTGTTGGAAAGGTGTTAGACATCATAAAAAAATTAGTACTTGGTCAAAAAAGCTACGATTGAAATTTTGTGAAAAGTAGCATTTACTATGCGTCACGATAACACAAAATTTTTAATTTACAACTTTTTAAATTTTTTGTAAAATCTTAAAAAGTAATCTTTGTTACCTATATTATTGTAGAAGCGGGAGATGCGCCAGTACAAGTGCGAATGCGGAGACGAATGTATCACGATAGCCATTCCTGGCATTGTAAGTATATTGGAAGTCAGGAGCCAGACCCGAAATGTCCTGTAATTGTGCGGAAATGCGTTGATTCGTTTATCAGCTCACATAACATGATGGACTTTTTGAAAGCTTTGGGGTTACGAATGGATTACGAATATCTGACAGATGGAGTGTTGTTCACTTGGGGCAATATTAAAGTAAGAAATTTTTTTATTTTATGTTTTTTACCATTATTTTTGCATATTTATGTATTTTCATTTTTCAATCGCTGTTTTTCAGGTATACGTGACAAGGATAACATACACGAATACGACTGGAAAATACGAGCAAGAAAACAGATTCCGTTTATCAGAAGATGCTTTGTTTGTTGAAGCCTCGACTACACTACCAGAACAAGCTGATTATAATCAGGCGGCCAAACAATTGAGGGATTTCGCTGATCAACTTGAACCGTAAGTCATATTGATATAGATTGGTTATTTTTAAATTTAGGTTGTGCAAAATGCAGAAAATGGACTATTAACATACGTTATGGACATTTTTGGACCTTCAGCCATCTTTTTTGAGTTGTGGGATGGATCTCATGCAAGGATATTGACATTGATATCACTGCCACCTAGTTTGATGTCTAACTGAACTTAAACTGACTGTTTTTTTAAAGTTCAACTTTTAAATTTCTTAAACTGTTTTGATTTATTTTGTAATGTTTTTAATGATAATAAATCTTTTTTTAAACTTTATATTGTTATAGTAAAGGTAGCAGAACTATAATTATTTATTTTTTCTTTGGTTTTGACTAACATTTTCTTTAAATAACCTGATTTAATATTTCTAAATCTTAAAATACAATATAATACAATTTACTGAGTTTTTCGTGTTTGAGCAGTATCGGTATTAGTATTGGCCAATGTGTTCTTCTTGGTCAGCTTTTTGATGTCCCTCCAGTGTTGCATGGGTGTTTTGAAGATGTTGACGGGTTTCCATTCAACTTTGTCATCTTGTCTTTGGTTTATCTTGTCTTCAGGGAACAAATCGTATTCTCGAATTTGAATTTTGAAAAATTTGCATAATATAAAGGATAAGGTGAAGGATCCAATGACGAAACAAAAGGCGAATATGTAAAAGGTTTCCTGAAAAAATGATGTTTTTGAATCAAAATTTGCTTGGGAATTCGATTTTTTTGTAGAAAAATTTGGGTTTTTGGTTTATTTTCAATAAAAATGATGACTTTTGATATTGTAGTAGGTATCAAACCCAACAAACTTTAAAAAACAGCAAAAATTGGCATTTTCAAACAAGATTTAAACAAAAATACCATTTTTAGCCTTACTACCAAGCAACCTTTACCTGGTCGAACATTTCATCAAAACTGGGTATCATCTGATTGGCAGTATCAATCATCTTCAGCACAAATTTGTGCTTCGTATCCTTCTCTCCATTGTAGTAATTGCCCCATTTTGACTGGCGAGACATTATTTTATTCCGTTTTGTCTTTTTCGGAACGAAAAAATGCCATAAAAGGCCCGCAGGCGCAGGGCAATCAATGGCAAAAGAGAAAAAAGAGTTGGCCAGCGGGTCAAGTGTTTCTTTAGTGCTGTAATGGGTATAAAGCACTCTGTAAAGAAAGTTCTTGTCATGTTATTCTTTGTAAAGAAAGTTTCTGCCATTTCTTGAGCTGTAAAGAAAGTCCTTGCCATTTTATGTTTTGTAAAGAAAGTTCTTGCCATTTCACAGTTTGTAAAGCAAATTTCTGCTATTTTTTGTTTTACAAGCTGATTGTACTTCAATAACCACCATAATAATGAAAATAACATTTATTTACTAACAGTATTTATAACAGGCAGATGTTTTGTCAAAGAAAAGATAATTTAAATACTGAAATGTCCAAATGTATGTTAAAAAAATTTCAATAATGACAAAAAATTTGGTTACAGTAATAGGACAAGTTCAAAGTAACAGTAGTAGACTCAACGTTACACTAACCTGAGCCTACGGCGGGATTACAGTAGTACTACTGTAAGCCTAGAATAGTACTGTATTAAGCATACAGTAACCTTAAAGTAAGCCTTAAATTTTGCTAGTTCTTTACAGTAGGAATCTAGTAAGCTTACAATAACATTACAGCAAGCTTACAATAGCACTACAGCAAGCTTAACATAGTACTACATAAAGCCTACAGTAAACTGACAATAAGTTTAATATTTTACCCCTTGTTTACAGTATTACTTTAATAATCTTCCAGTAGTACTACCCTAAGCCAGAATTTGTCATAACATACATTTGGGCAATGATATATAATGTCAAATTAAGAGAGAGCCGGGTGATCGTTGTGGATTCGAAATGAGAGCACCCGTTGGGTTGAAAGATACGACGATAGACTTGATAATACTATAACGAAATGTCAATTAATACGACTTTTACGACCAGATTTACGAGGACAATGATTTAATAGAGGGTCACAATATAAGGGGATTTTTTAGGCTTAACACAGGATCTTTAGGCTTATACCTTTGGGCTTTAGATAAATACCATAAATACCTAGGCTTAAATTATAATACATAAGCTGTAGTAGACTATGAACATATCTATATAATACAATGTAAATCATGTACATGTAAGTTAAAAGATCATAAAAAGTCTTGTCGTCGATTTGCATTGGTATCAACGTTAAAAAACGACAAGACTTTTTTTGACATTTTAAATAGGTAGATATGACCCTAAATGTACTACAGTGTATGACTTACATGTATGTAAGATAGTATAAGACATAGTATGTCATGTAAGTTAAAAGGTTTTTAAAAAGTCTTGTCGTCGATTTGCATTGATATCAACAGTAAAAAACGACAAAACTTTTTAAGTCTCTAATATACTTATGTATGATCTTAGACACACTATGTACACATAGGTCAGATGAAAGAACACATAATTATACTATGTATACAAGACCGTATCTACTGCAACATATCTACTACAATATGCCATGTACTACTGCAAATGGCTGGGAGGCAGTGAACTAGTGTCGAAACGTGCACTACTGTTCTCCGAGATCTGTCCATTGTTCGAGGTGGAGGGTTGAAGCGATTGTCGCCCATTCTTCAACTTCATCATACGAAGATCGTGCTCGGAACGGCAGGTATGACAGGTGCAAGGACCTTCGGTTCGAGTATGATGACATCGGCGGCAACCCATCGCTTCACCCACTCCAAACGAGCTGCGGTGGAAGTAGATCTGGCGACGATCCTGCAAATAAAAGTTTATATTGTTGGAAAGAAAGTTTTTGCTATTTTTTGTTCTGTAAAGAAAGTTCTTGCCATTTTGAGTTTTGTAAAGAAAGTTCTTGCCATTTATACCCCCAAAACCCAAATTTCCAAGCTTATTACGTATAAAACTCAATTACTGTATACCTCATACTCAATATACCACAAGTGCGTTTGTTAATCAAAACTGTGCTAAACCAAAGTAAAAAACCAAAGTGAACATAATGATAACAGTCAATAGTTAGGATGTTGGCTGACAGAAATATTACCTTATGTTATCCATCCATATCATGTTGTCCCATCGGCTTCAGACCTTCTTCGGCTTCTAAACATAAACAAAATCAATATACGATGAATACGAACACAGAAATGAGTATATATTACGGTAAATTAGAGGCACGATTATTGTAAGATACTGTATTTACAAGTTTTTGTTAATTTACTGCCTTTATTTTTGCAATCAAATTAAAAAAACAAAAAAAGTGATTAAATTTGTTATTTCCAATGATTACAATACCAAAATGATCATTTTAAACATAAAATACCTTGTTATTTTAGGTTACAAAGCTTGTTTTTAAAATTTAAAAACTCTACCCTACCCTATCCTACCCTAACTTATTTCTAGACCTACCCTGACTTATGCTACTGTATCTTACCTTAATTTACTCTATCTTACCCTAACCTGTCTTTTTTAACCTACCATACAATATACACACGTATGCCTACCCCACCTTAGCCTCCTTTTCTTTAACTATGCCCTTTTAGTTGCCCCAAGCCTACTACCTCTTTCTTTATCCCTGTCCAAGTCTTACCGTTCGCTTTTTACCACTCTAGTCACGCTCTATATTATACTAGCATACACTTATTTTTTTCTCATCTGACGCATCTCTTCTTATGGTCAATGCTATTTTATCATTAATATCATATGAGTCTTTTAATTTCTAACTGAAAATAAATATTACAGGCAAAGTAAGCTTACTTTTCGTTTGAACAATCGAGAAAAGAACCCAGGTTTTCCATTTAAATTATTCAAATTCTCGATTGAATTCTCTGGCCTCAGGTCTGCCATTAGTTGGTTGTCCTTGTAAAATACATTCAATTCGTTAAAGCATTCAGTTTCAATCATTTCGTTTTGCCATGGAATCGACACTGATCCGGTGTTGAATTTGTCGTAAAAGGTGTTGTCAGTCGAGTCAAGTCGTACTCCTTTCACTGTACTGAACTGTTCAATATCCAGCACGTCTTTGGCATAAACCGAGTGAGGATCGGGGCAGAAAGGTGGGGTTAACTGAAAGATTTATATTGTAGTACGAGTAGAAAAAGCAAAATCCATTATACAATTACTAAAACATGGTAAGGTAAATTAGAGAATAGTAGACCACGGTAAAGTATGGTATGATAGAGTAAGACAAGGTAGGGTAAGGTAAGATAAAGTATGGTAGGGTATTGATATAGCAGTGCCATCCTAGCTAAAGTAAGCTCTCCTCAGACCCTATCATAATCTTAACCGACGCTACTCTACAGGGTCTTATACTATCCTACAGTATCCCAACATACCGCCCATAATCCGTCCTACTGTAGTCCTACCTAAACCACCTTAAACTGCAATGCCTGACCGTACAGCGCAATACCTAATTTTACAGTAACCTAGGCTAGACTAATCTTAGCTACGCAGTACACATACCGTATCTTTGCCTAGAGTACCATACTTTGATCTCTACTGCCGTACTGTACCTTTTCCATTAACTACAGTCCCTAACCTGATCTAAAGTACCTCACTCACCGTCCAATAACCTACTGTAACCTTAGACCATCCTACCATGCCGTGTACTATACGACCTTACCCTAACATACTTGACCCGACTCTAATCTACCCTGCTGTGATCTACCCTACTTCACCCTACCCTAAAATAAAATAAAAAATAAGAAAAACCTACCCGTCCAGCTTCCATTTTCTTCCAAGGTACCGGCTCTCTGCCCGTATTCGTATCGCCGGTCATGAAAAAGGGATGAGCTTTCAATTCATCCGCCCCCTCCTCTAACTTATGCACCCTCCGGCAACCTAGCCGAAAGCCGGGCTCTTTGTGCAACAGTCCGCGACACAACGTCCTGGCCGCATCACTGAACTTGTCCGTGTACTTTTCTTGGTCTTCTCGTACTCGACGCTCAACTTCTTCTCGCTTCACCTTCTCTTTTCGTTGACGGAATGGCGCCTGAAGTCAGAAAATGGAAGAAAATAATAGTTTTAATTTTTTTTTGAAAATGATTTTTTTTGAAGTTTGAAAAGTCACAAAAAAAAACTATTTTTAGCCTCCTTAGTTATAAAATGGCAGTTAAAACCCCTATTAAGAATATGAAAAGGGTTATTTTTTAAAATCCTGCACGGTGCAAAAACTAAAATTTGAATTATAAAAAATTCGAAAAGTGGTAATGTCAAAAAAATTTGTTATATGACGTTTCAATACAAGAAAAACATTTTTGTAAATCTAAATTTTTAGTTGGATTACTGTAACATACTGCATTGAAATTTTCTTCTATAAATAAAATTTTTGAAAAACCTTAAATTTAAATAATAAAAAAAGCTTTTTTTAAAAGTAAGATACGCTATACAAACCATGATTGTAAAATATTTTCTTAAATTTTATTAATTTAAAAAATTTTTTGATTTTTTAAAAATTTTTTTAATTTTCAAAACAATTTTTTTTTCAAAAAAATGTTGTCCAAAATGACAAATTATTTTTTATACATGTCAATCAATCTCAAAATAACTGAAAAACAAGCATTTGTCCCCACTCACCTTGCCTTCAATCATTTCGAAGATCAGGCAGCCCAAACCCCACCAGTCCACGCCATACGAATATCGCTCGTTCTTCACAATCTCCGGCGCTGAAATAGTTAAAATTAGTGACAGTTTGGAGGACAAACAACTTTTAAAATTCTGAAACAGAGTACGATGTCATTTGGTCTTGATATGACAAGCTTTTTTAAAATTTTGAAACTTTTAAAATTTAAAAAACTAATGTTTTAAAAAATTTTTAAAATTTATTATGCACGTACTACTAACAGTGATTTTTCTAGTCTAGTAAACATGAAACAATGTCATAAAGTATAAAAAAAGATGGAAGAAAAAGGTCGCAGCACCGTGCAAACAATAGTAAAAGGACTGCAAAAAAAATTTAAAAGTTCGTGGTATAAATTTAAAAAACAAAATTAAAGCAAAAACCAATAAAAATAATAAATTATAGACCATTTCTATTATTTTCTATATATATTTTATTTTATAACTTTTAATTTATATTTTAAATAAAAAATTTAGAAAACTGCACCGTGCAAAAACCAAAAATATTGTTTATAAAAAATTTTTTTAATTTTGCACAGTGCAAAAGAATAAAGAATGTTGCATTGTGCAGACGAAACTCTATTGGCAACAAAAAAGACAAATACTTTCTATACAACCAACAATGGCAAAAACTTTTTTTACAGCTCAATTCTAATACCCAAAAACAATCAAAACATACCCATATACCCAACAGTGCCAACCCTCCCTTTAATCGGTTCATTTTCCTTCAGCTCCACCGCCAGTCCGAGGTCTGATATTCTGACATGGCCATAGTCGTCCAGTAGGATATTCTCTGGCTTCAGATCCCTATACAATATCCTCTCTCTGTGCAAATGTTGTAGACCTAAGGTGATCTCAGCCGCGTAAAACTGGACTCGCTTTTCGTCGAATCCGCCTGGAGACAAAGTGTACAGATGAAACTTTAAGTCACCACCATTCATCAGTGTCAGCACCAAACATAGCGCGTCCTTGGTCTCGTATGCATAAGCCAAAGATACAACGAATGGTGAGTTGATACGTTGAAGGATCTGCTTCTCGTTCAGTGATAAGGTCTCAGCGTGCCGCTTCTTGACTCGCTTCTTCTCCAATTTCTTCAGCGCGTACATCTTGCCTGAGGCTCGTACTTGACAAGCACAAACCTCGCCGAAGCCACCTTTGCCTAGAACACGGTAGAGACGGAAGGTGTGTTTATCGACCGGTCGTTTTTCCAGCCATTTCCATTGAAGATAACGATGGAAATACATGGATGCGACAAAAGTATCGAAAGGATCGGCGGAGAGGAAGGAGCGGACTTGCCTGAAAGTAGAGTGGATTTTTTTTTGCAAGAACTTTCTTTACAGAATAGAAATAGCAAAAATTTTCTTTATAATGTCAAAAATGGCAAGAACTTATTTTACAAAACATAAAATGGCAAAAATATTGTTTTCAGTATGTAATTGTTTTTGTCGTATTTTACATTTTGTTAAATTTTTTAAATTTTCTTACTTGTAGGCTTCAGCAAATATGTCAGATGAAGGCTCTTGGTCATGGGTAGCGTCATTTGCATTCTGTATGGCTTTGTTTATGACTTCCTCATTCAGAAAAGAGCACCAATTTTCATCGGATTGCGATGTCTGAAAAACAGTCAATTATGGCAATGAAAAGTGTCATAAAAGTGTGGCAAAGCTAAATTTAGGCTAGTAAGAAAAAACATCGAAACTAGGACTCTAAGTTAAAGCTGGGGCCAGGGCCGGGCGGGGACTTTTGGTCTGGGGGCGGGGTCCAAAATATCCACAGGGGGGACCACGTTCAATTTTTTTTCAAAAAATTTTTTTCTGGACGGGGGGGTACCCCCCCCCCGTCCCCCCCCCCTCGCGCCCGGCCCTGGCTGGGGCTAAGACCAAGTTAACGCAAAGCTAGGCCAAACCAGAGCCAAACCAAGGCCAAGCCAGAGCTGAGCCAAGAACAAGCCAGGGTAAAGCCAGGGCAAAGCTAAAGCAAAGCCAGAGTCACACTAAGGCCACGCCAGAGCCAAGACAGGGCCAAGCCAGTGTCGTCCAAGGGCCAAGCCAGGGGCAAGCTAAGCCCAAGCCAGAACCAAGCCAAAGCCAAATCAGGACCGTACCAGAGCCAAGTTATTTACAAACCAGGGCCAAGTCAGAGCTAAACCAAGGCTAGAGCTCTAGGCTAGGGCTCTGGGTTAGGTCTCTAAACTAGGACTCTGGGCAAAAGCTCTAGGCTAGAGTGGAGTAGAGTAAGGTATAGTATGCAAACTTCTTACCGAAGGCTGATTTTCGGTCTCCGATTGAGGGTCGGGCGCGAACAAAGCCGCAATCGAATTGGCCAATACCCGTCGACTTTGTCCATCGTCGTCGCTGGTCTCGTATTCTTCGACCCGTTGCAGAAAGTTGCAACAACGATTGAACTGGTCGTTTTCTTCGCAGAATTGTTGGAAAAGTAGTCGGCCAATCGGTTGTTTTTCTATTACGAATGAGTAGCTGAAAGGTAAATTGAGATTAGTTTTTGAAAAATTGTAAAATTTGCATAAATTTGGGTTAAATAGATCTTTATAAAGAAAGTTCTTGCCATTTTACGTTTTGTATAGGAAGTTCTTGCCATTTTTTATATTGTCAAAAAAGTTATTGCAAATTGGCATTCTGCAGCAAGCCCTTGTTCATTAATACTTATATAAAGGTGCCGGTTTTATACCAAAAAACAAAACCTTGTTTACCGCGCGAAAACTAATGTAATAACTCTAATGTAATGGCTAATATGATTTACGAGTATTATAACTTGTCGTTTTGTATTATTGGCCAAGCAAGAAATTAAAAATAACTGCGATTCCTTCGAGAATTGTATCAGTAAACAATTACAATCAAAATTAAAAAGAGGAGAGTAAAGTACAGTAAATAAGGGTTTATCTGCACCAGGAAGTCACGTTTTATGAGCTTGCAATGATGTTTTTATACTGCTTTTAAATTTTATTATTAATTTTTGTTTTTTGCACTGTGCAAAGTAAAAAGATAATTGCACCGTGCAGCTTTTTTTATTTTTGCACCGTGCTGTGTTAAAGAAAGTTGCACAGTGCAGTTAGTGTTGTTTTTCATAAAAATATAACTATGAAGTTTTTTACAATTCAAAACGGCAAAAACTTTTTTTACAAACTGAAAAATGGCGAGAACTTACTTTACAAAGCAAAAAATGGCAAGAACTTTCCTTACAAAGTATAAATTGGCAAGAACTTTCTTTACAAAACAAAAAATGACAAAAACTTTGTTTACAAGACAAAAAATTTCAATTTTCATAGTATGTTGCCTACAAATATTTGTTATAATTAGTGAGGTGCGGCGCATTCTTTTGATTTTTATCTTTTTTGGATGTTCCTGCTAGTTATTCGCCTACATTTTACAACTATTTTCATTATGAAAAGTAGTGATAAGATTTTTTTCATGATGACAAATACTATTAGCTTTAATCGGTAATTGATCTCATGGTCCTATGAGTAATATCAAAAAATTTTTTTTTAATTTTTCAAAATGAAATTTTTGAAAAAAAACCGGAAATTTTGTGCCACAAATTAAAAAAAATTTTGAAATTTTTTTTTAAAATGATAAAAATACATTTTAAAAGTAAAAAAGTCAAAATTATAATATAATACCTGGTTTCGATCTCCTGTTTCATAAACAAGCACTGACTGTAATGAGGGAACTGAAGGTAGGTCTTCCATTTTTTGCTTTTTCCTTTCTTCTGACCTCCGCCTGAAGTAAAAATTAATAAAAATTTTTTAAAACTTGACTTTTATGATTTAAAAATAGCTTTAAAAACATTTAAAATACTAAAATGTCAATTTTTTTTTGTCCTGTTGCACAATGCACCCCAAGGTAGCCCTACTCTACTTTTAATCTAGCTCTAACTTAGTCTTAATACAAAAATTGTTACTAAAAATCGATTTTCTAAGCCTAATCTAGCCTTAATTAAAAATTACACTAGTCCTAGACAAGCTCTAAACCCTTCTGCAGCCCTATTTTAGTGTGCTACTACTTTTGAGTCAACCTAATAGTTCAACGGTACCTTTGTCCTGACCCTACCCTAGCACAACCTTCTCTTGTCTTAACTCTAACTCGCATTACACTAGCCCTACTTAAGTTTAGTCCTACACAAGCCTTACCCAAGCCTAACCTACCTTTGGGTCTATCCAAGCCGAGTCCTACTCCCGCCTAGTCCTAATTTAGCTCTAGCCTAGCCAAAAATTCACAAAAAAATCATTTTTAAAATAAAAAAATTTTTCAAAAAATCAAGCTTAAAACCCAAAAAACCCTTGAAAATCATACTTTCTCTCGCCTTGATGTAGACGGTGTTGGCGACGATGTTCTCGATCTCCATGACCCCTAGAAGAGTTGGGGCTTGGTGGAGAAGGCGGAATGCCCGAAGCAGTTCATCCCTCGAACTTAAAGCGCTGGTGCCGCGCCTTTTGCTCCCACTGGGTTGGGGCTTGGCTCTCGGTTCTCCTCGTGTGCAGACGGTTTTCCGGTCCGACGCACGTCCTGTAGTGTGTTTTTTTCGCTCCCTCCGCCTGCAACAAACTTGATTTTGCAGACACCAAAATAGAGGAGTCACGCCCCGACATAACATGTTGATACACAAGAATGACAATGTTAGGATGTGTTAGAGCTTAACACTCGGAATGAAAGCAGTTTCAAGTTGGTCTAGTACTGAGACTGTCACTCACGACCTATTCCTGGCTTTAGTGCTAGCTGTTGTTCTAGTTCTAGGTCTAGCACTAGCTCTAGATCTAGCTCTAGCTCAAGCTCAAACTTAAGCTCTACTTCTAGCCCAGGCGTTACCACTAGTATAAACACTAACCTAAGCCATAACCTAAGTACTAGCTTAAACCCTAACCTTAGTTTTCGTCCTAGCAATCTAAGCCTAATTTGAAGCCCTGGGGTTACGTTTGGCTAAGCGTTAAGATTTGTCATTGCTCAAGCCCTTAAACTGCATAATATAACCACTAGTCATAGCACAGTCTTCCAGTGGTGTGACTGTCATTTAACTTTAGCTTATTTTTGCCTCAACCTTGCTTTAGCCTTAAAATTGTCTTAGCTCTTAACTACGTTAATTCAATACTACCCTACATGCAACTTTTACTCTAATCTCACTATAGTACCTAGAGTACCTGACTTCAAAATTGATTGTTTCTCACTTATTTTTTATCATCGATTAAAGCACTCTTAACCCCATATGAAAAAGAGTGCAAAAGCGGTCAGCACAGTAAGAGAAAAACACAAAATTGGCGAATTATTGTTATTGTTTGGCGAAATGAGGAGAATAATAATTACTTGTAATGGATTATGTATAACGTAAAGATAACAAACTGGGTATTGAAAAATAGCCAAAACTACACTTAAAATTAGCAAAAACGAAACAAAAAAACGAAATTTAAAAAAATTTCAATCTTTTTAAAATTTTTAAATTCTAAAAAATTTTTTTTTTCATTTTCAAATTTAAAATTTTTTTTTTAATTTTAGCGTAATCCAAACTAAAAATACCCCTAAAATACCACTTTAAACCCGAAAAACAATCAAAGTGACCGCCAACGATAAAACATGACATATCGGCCTATAAAACACTTAAAATTAGACTATACACCAGTAAAAGTAATATTAATATTACAGCTAAACGCGGAAAGGGCCGTGCATTTTACCATTAATTACGTGTATATCTCACGTAATTAATCTTTTCTTTGAAAAACATACGACGATAAACGTTCTTGGTACTTTACTTCGAGATTTAGGTAGTAATGAAGGTATATTAGACTGTTTTTAAGTAGAAATGAAAGAAAAACTAGCCTTAAAATATAAATATACCTTGTTACTTAATGTTACAAAAATTGTTTACCCTACCCTACCCTACTTTACCCTACCCTACCCTACCCTACCCTACCCTACCCTACCCTACCCTACCCTACCCTACCCTACCCTACCCTACTCTACCCTACCCTACCCTACCCTACCTTACCCTACCTTACCCTACCACCTATTATGGTACCTTAACCTGAACATTTAGCGTGCACTTTTAATTTTACATGCCCTACACTGCTTCAAAAACTATCCGCGTTCTCTCCAGCATAGAAATTTAATATGTCTTACCCTGCCTTTCTTAAACTTTGCCACACCCACCCTGTCTCGCCTTAAAATTAACCATACCTTGTCCTAAAATAATATTTACCATGCCGTACGCTACCCTAAAGCTTTCCATTCCTTACAGAAAATCCTCGCATAACGTATCTCCAGATTTACCACCCCCAACCATAAAAAGTGAAACACATACTGGTTGGGCCGTGATTGAATTTCCAAACATCAATAATTACACTTCCTGAACATCTCCCCAAAAACAACAAAATCCCATGCCATCCGCCCTTATCTCCCCCCGAAACAGCCCTCCTATTGTCGCACATACACTGACAATTTCACGCCAAGGTAAGCAGCGGCAGGCCGCGGCCATATGCGGCTTCAAACATTGCCCAAATCCCTCGGATTTACTCCAAAATTTATCTTCAAGACTGCTAATTCGGCCGCGGCCATTATCCATGTCTCCTCTCGGGGGCCGCTTTAATTTCGCCCTCTTCTCGTTAGTAAGAAGGGAGATGGAACGCTTGTAATCGTACGAACAACAATTTAAAGACATATGAGAGGAAAAAGTTGATTTTCGAGGCGAGTGATGGCAGAGAGTAAGATATTTTTAGGCCGAAAACAAGTTTAGACTTTCAAAATTAATAAAAATACAGAAAAAAATTAAAAATCCTCAAAAATAAAACCAAAAAGAAACAAATTAAGACTAGAAAAAAACGAAAATCCTAGGAAAAAGATAGGTAGCAAAGAGAAGGATGTATTAAAACTAGGATAACCCAGTCAAAGACTAAAATAATGCTAAAGCTATAATAAGACTAGAACATCATTGGTTAGCGCTAAGATAAACATAAAAGATAGATAGGCTAAAACTAAACTGAAGACTATAACTAAGGCTAAGGCACTAAGTTTTTAGCTGAGGTTTAGGCTAGACGCATGTAAAGATTCTTCACAAGACTAGAAAAATAACTAAGAATAAAGTTAAGAATTAGCCTAAGGCTTGGGCTCAGGTTCATGCTCACGCTCAGACTCGATCTCAGGGTACCTAAGCCCAAGCTAAGGCTTAGGTTAAAGCAAAAGCGCAGACTCAGGCTCAGGCATATACTCAAGCCCAAGCATAGGCTTAGGCTCAGGTTCAAGCTCAGGCCCAAACTCCTGCTCAGGGCTCAGGCTTAAGCTCACCTTCAGGCTCAAGCTCAACATCAAGCACAAGCTCACGCTCAAGCTAAAACTAAAGATAAGGCTAAAACGAAGCGAAAACTAAGGCTATGTCTAAAGACATGCCGAAAATTTGAAAATAAATCAAAATTTACAAAAATCCACGACTTTTCCTTACGATGACAACCCCAACCGCCATGTCATAACCCAAAAAAACTTAAAAAATGCTTTCCAAAAACATATTCTTCCTCCCGAAGCTCATTAATGTTGGCTTATTTCCAAAGTTTACTCCAAGCTCTACACAAAAATGAATGAGGAATTTGAAAGAGCGGACTTTATGAAAGACAACAATTATTTCAGCAGCTTTTTAGGCTTTGGCTTAACAGTAATGTTGGCTTAGCTGTTGTTTTTTTAATCAAAAGTTTTGCAAGCTTAAAAGTTGCATATTATACTAAATTCTTTGGCCTACTCTACCCCAAGAATGATAAAAAATGCTTTTAAGAACTTAAATTAGAAACAACTTTTATCCACCCCCCTTCCTGTAAAGTAAAAAGGCCGGGCCCCAATTTTTCGGCCAAGCAGGTCCCTTTTAAGGTATACCCCCCCCTGCTTTCCAAAGCTGTGTGCACTACTGTTTATAGACTGGAAGGTTGCAACTGGCGTATTTTACAAATAATTTTGGAAAAAAACACCCCAAAGCCAGTAATGCCGTATTTTACAAAAAATTTTGCTCAAAATTTAAAAAATAAAATACCCCCCCCTTTTATATTTTAAGCAATATTCAAAAACTTGAGCTACTTAATGCTCCCATGCCTATATTTACTTTTGCCGCGTTTAGCATTTATTCTAGCTCGTTTAACCAACTACCACATTGAATGATTGAGAAAATCCCCCAAGGGCACGAATCTTTGACGCTGCTTTTCTTTTTTCATTTTTAACTTGGAAGGAAGAAGTATGTGTTAGGGTTACTTAAACTGGTGCTAGGCTAAAATTAAAGCTAATTCTAAGGCTAAGGCTAGGGTTAAAGCTAAGGCTAAAGCCAACTCTAAAGCTAAGGCTAAGGCTAAGACCAAGGCTAAGGCTAAAACTAAGGCTAAGGCTAAAGCTAAGGCTAAAGCTAAGGCTAAAGCTAAGGCTAAGGCTAAGGCTAAGGCTAAAGCTAAGGCTAAAGCTAAGGCTAAGGCTGCAACTAATTTTTTTAAAGTTTCAGAATTTCGACTGATCAAAGTCTTTAAAATTCAAAATTTAAAAATAAACCTACAAAACAATATAAAGCGTATTTTACCACAGTTTTAAAGCCAATAAAATAATTTTTTTCCAAAAATTTTGACGCAAAAGTTATGGCTTCTCGAAATTTGAAAAATTATAACCAGCCGGCTGCCATATCCCCTCTCATGTGGCCGCCGAAGCGCAAGAACACGAACAAATCTCGAGGACATTAAACATGATATTAAGAGCCACTAAAGAGACATATCATATAAGAGATTAGAAAAAGCCTTCACATATTAACATTGGTTTTTGGTCGATATGTGAATACAGGCTAAACTTGAAGTTAAAATTGGAAAAATCTTGGCAAGAAAATGATTGGAATCTTAAAAAATAAAAAATTTTAAAAAATCGGAAAAACTTAATTTATTTTTGCACTGTGCACAAAATTTTTAAATCAGTGTCAGGACATTTTCAACAATATTTTAGGTAACAAATACCTATTTAAAAAGGTTAAAAAACCACTAAAAATCTTAGTTTCGTTTAGAAATAATGATACACCAAACTGTTACAAAAATACTGCACCGTGCAGTGGAAAAAAGCCCTGTTGCCCCGTGCAAAAAAATTAATAGTTTTTGCCATTTTTCGAGTTGTAAAGAAAGTTTTTGTCATTTTTTGTGCTGTAAAGTAATTTCTTGCCATTTTAAATTTTAAAAAAGAAATTTTGCCATTTTTTAATTTTTAAAGAAAGTTGTTGCCATTTTTTGATTTGTAAAGAAAGTACTTACCTCTTTTTGTCTTGTAAAGAAACTTTTTGCCATTTTTGAGAAAAAAGAAAAATAGTATGCCACTATTTATAGAAAAATAATTTTTTCCTTCAAAAAATTTTTTTAATAATGACCTTTTCCGTTCACCCCCACTTCATGCCAATCCACTTTAATATGCATTATATTACACTCAAACAGCTTTTACACCGAATATCCCCAAAAGCATGCATTTTCTATCTCCCACCCCTATTTCGTCGCTTTTTAGTGAACAGCTGAATAAAGTCTGAGGGAAAATTAAAACAATTACTTAATGGTACTTAACATGGTTGGCACAATTGTAGAACAAATTGAAATTTTGAAGAATTATTAAAAATGG